TGGCTAACATATTGTTGAGTCACAAAAATGTCCTTCCTAATTTCTCTCTCATTGTAGGAAATTTGAAAAGGGAGATTAAGTTTCAAATAATTAAATCATATACCCTAAATCTATAGAACTTAAACCCTAATATCACATATACTAAGAACATAATCAATGATTCTGATTCGCCAAGATGTATACAACATACCATATGCACTATATTAGGATTTAGAGAATTATGATTTAGGGTTTAGTTACGTGATTAATTTATGGTCTAGATAATGTTATTTAACTAAGGAGAGGCAATAACCCTCAATCCATCGAGCGTACCATAAAATTTCCAATGTATATACTTGACACACTAAAACACAACACCAAACTGCGACCAAGTGTAATTGCAGTCCGGAAATGCAGAATAGTGGCAAGTTCTATTTATCAACCCGGGGTCTAGATCTACTGCCTACTCCGTGATTATCTATTATCTAGCAGACTAAGTCGAGCGATTGTGATTTTAAGCAAAAGCAGTAAGAAAGCAGGAAATGGTTCGGTTTTCTAAAGCAAGGGAAGAGTCACTCGGGAATGAGTCCCCCTAGCTCCTTAGTTAGGTCAAAGTTGTAATTACCTTTGGTTTTTTTACTGTTGATTATATTGCGGAAGATCCGACAGTAGCTTGGAATCTCTTAAGCTGACCAAGCCCTTTTAGATAGATTACCCGGCAGACGACTAGTCTTCACCAGGATGGACTGCTGAGGAAATGAACACTGAACTCCACTACTGAAATTGAGTTCCAGTACAAAGCAGTGAATCGACTAACTCTCGTATAATCTATTCACTACTACCGAACAACCTAATCAGATTCTATCTATCTCAAGTTGCAGCAGAAATCAATAAAAGATGATCAGACTTCAATTGACTCAATCAAAACACTTCAATCGATTATAATCAAGCAGTATTGATAACGATGTATTTGCACATGTTTGCACCCTTAGTTCTTATCCGTTTGCGGCTAGTAGTCGTGTATTTTTGGCCCGTTTTACACTGGGTTGTGCTACTTTGTCATATTTCAGGTCCCAAACGTCGAAGGAAAGGCTAAGCACGAGCTTCGAGGCGTTTGGAGGTCATTCGGTCGAGCTGGGGGCAAAACACGGGCAGGAGGCCTGAAGAACACGGCCGTGTACACAAACAGGCACGCCAGTGTTATTATGTGCGAGAGCTGAACTGATGGAAAAGCAAAACACGGGCTGGCCTAAAGAAAAACACGGTCGTGTCCATATTTAGGCACGACCGTGTTTTGGCCAACGCGGGCGTGTTTTTAACATGTGGCAAGGGCACGGACGGGCAAAAGCAAAACACGGTCGTGTCCTCGACCGTGTTTTGCCCAGAATGGTTTTTGAGGTAGATTCAAACAAAAGGAAAGGGAGAGCTGGGTTTTGGTTCCCAAACACCCAAGGGACGAACCCTAGAGAGAGAGCGACTTGGGAACATTCTTGGAGCTATTTTGGAGGATTTCTTCGCCATTGGAGCTCGGGAATCAAGCTTGTAGATGGAGATTTAAGATCAAGATCATATTTTTGCAGTCTCTCTCTTCTCTATGGAGTAACTTCTCTTCACTTAGGTTTTGAGGAACCCTAGTTCCATGTGTTAGGATCTTTCTTGTATGAAGTTGTGGATGCTATATTGTTTGATTATAATCGATTGAGGCATGATTTATAGAGTTAATTGAAGCCCGATCATCTTCTCTTTATTTCTGCTTTAACCTATGATAGATAGAATCTGATTAGGTTAAGAGAGCTTCCTTGATTGATAGTGGTGAATTGGTTGTGCGAGAGTCAATCAATTCACTGCTTTGTACTGGAATTCATTCCAGTAGTGGAGATCAGTGTGAATTGCCTTAGCAGTCTATCCCGGTGAAAGCTAGTCGCCTGCCGGGTATTCTGTCTAAGAGGGCTTGGTCAGCTTAAGAGATTCCAAGCTAATTTAGAATCTTTCGCAGTTTAATTAACAGTAGATCAACCAAAGGTAATTGCGAATTGGACCTAATTGAGGAGCTAGGGGGAATCATACATAAGTGAGTTCCCAACTTGTAATTAGTAGAGTAGTTAGTAGAGTAATTTAGTAAATCAATCCTTAATCTAGTTTGCTAGATAATGAACTGAAGCTGAGTAATAGTAACTCTAGAGACCCGTGGATTCAATATTTATTACTTGTGCCACTATACTGCAGTCCTTTTCATTGGTTACACTTGGCCATTGTTAGGTGTTGTGTTTTAGCGTGTCAAGTATCACAAACCAAACGTCATTACAATCAATATCCCTAACACATGGAACTAGGGTTCTTCATACCCAAGTGAGAGAAAGTTCTACTCCATAGAGAGAGAGAGAGAGAGAGAGAAGAAAACAGAATACAAAGCAGTCATACTCATAAAGATGGGGATAATCTGCTCTGGGATGTCGATCTTCACTCGCGGGGATGCAATCTGGGCTTCAATGATGAGAAATCCACTCCAAATAGCTCCTATGGCTTGTTCTTTGCACTTTCTCTCTCTAAAACTATGTTTTTGCTCCAAAAAGTCGAATCCCTCTCCTTTGGCTCGAATCTGCCTCAAAAACCCGATTCTGGGCGAAATACGGGCTGAATTATGGTCATAAACATGGCCTGCCCGTATTTCACCCAAAACGCGCGTTTCACTTAACACTTATGAGGGGAATTACGGTCGTCGTTACCCAATTACTGCTAGTATTCGTGGAATTACGATCGTAATTAATTCTGCTCTTGACAGACATTCTCAGGGATTTGGATCGGCATTACATTTAAGGTCAGGGCAGAGGCAATTATGCCCGTAATTGTGCAGGGGATGCCCGTAATTTAAATCTTGAATCGCCAACTGACCTCCAAATGACCCGAAACTTGCACCTATGCATCCCTTTACTCGCTAGGACTTGAGATACGACAAAATAACACAACCTAGTGTAAAATAGGCCAAGGAACCACAAATTTGAGCTAAAATGGTCAGGAAACAAGAGTGCAGACATGTGCAAATACGATGCTATCAAATTCCCCCACACTTAACCGTTTGCTTGTCCCCAAGCAAACCAAGTCAGATACAAGGTAAGCTCAACACATTTCAATCATGCAAACTTTGGGGGCATATCATATAGGCACGAAACACGGGAATCATACTGGCTTTTAGACATCAACACATGAACAATTTCAACAGCAACCTGGACAACCACCACAGAGGACATTCGAGTGCAGCAAAATCGGGTAAAGGAAGAGTCTCCCTTCTGTTCACCAACCAACCTAGACTTGACTCAACCACTTATTAAAGACAGTCACCTCATGCATAAAACTCAAGACATCAGAATCAAGACCGAGCCATCTAGTTCCTCACCGGGGTAAAGAGTGTAAAGAACAAAGAAATGAATCGCTCACTCTCGGCTAGTGGGGGCATGACAATTAGATGCGAAAAATGCGCATACTTATTCTCTCAATCCCTAACGTCTCTTCACCAAGACGACAACCTCTAAATGTTAGAGTTCACATATTAGGTGTCATCACTAACTAATCAGAAGGTCTTAGACACAGGTTCAAATGACTAGCTAGGGTCTTGGACATGGGGAAAATGCCTTTTAGGTGGTGGAAGTATTCATAGCACAAGGTTCCACAGTTCCAAACCCAACACATTCACAGCCAATCAAACCACTTACTTTCTTTTTGCCATTCTGCATTACTCAAATTCTTTAGAGCACAAGAGCGAAGGAGGTCACAATAATGTTAGTATTTCTAAGCCAGACTGCTAAGAAACACTACTTAATGAGCATGATTCAGATTTTTGGTAGTGGCTCTCTTTTGCTTTCATTCATTTTTTCCCCATTTCTTGAGAGAGACACCACCTCTGCACATTTTTCAAACACATGCCCAACTTTTAAGAACTACCTCCAACCCTCACATTATTTCTCGCAGAAACAGCAGAGAACATGCAAAAAACCACTATGTAGAACCTTTTAAGAGATGCAAACGGGTGATTTTCCATTGTAGACCAAAAGAAAGGAAATTACACTGCTCAAAGAGGCTGACTAGGGGGTATGACACACCAGGACAGTCAATTTGGTCGTGGGCTATTCCTATGCCTCCATCATCTTAGCTAAGGACAACGTGAATGCTACACATCATGGAAGAGGGATCTATCGCACAAGAAAGAAACGACAGGCCCAAATCTCACATGGCTACCTATATGCTCTATCTCTCATTCTGATTCCCTGAACTAGATGCATAAGCGAATGTCAAGAACAAGTGATCAATCCAAGTCACAATTGGTAAGCAAACAGTTGAAAAACTGAATCCCTACACAACTCTACTACATGTCTCAGTCATCATTATAGGTTGTCCTAGTCACAATCCAGTTGTCATGCATTAATTCGAAAGCCATTAGATTCACCAATTAAATCCACAGTGCCAATACAATCAAGCAAACAGCAGTACTTGGAGCCCTCAAATCTCAAGATTTGGATAGCTGACTAGGCTCCAAGCACACATATATGCGTTCCAAAGACAAAGCCCCCCCCCCCCCCCACACTTAAATGCAATAGTTTCCTCAATGGAGCAGAGGGAAGCGGAACGATGTTACCGTGAAATGAAGATCAGGAACTGGAAGGCGGACCAGTCAAGAGCAGGGGACTAGAAGGGGACCAGTCCAAGTGCAAAGAGCTAAAGTCATCAAAACACACTGGGTGATAGAAACCAAAGTTCCAAGTGGAAATCGAAACAAACAAAATAAAAACAAACCTTGGTGGGGTTGCCTCCCCACAAGTGCTTCTTTTATGTCTTAGCTATACGGTGGCTCCTAAGTTTCGGTCCACCCCAGAACCTCCTTGAAGTTGAGGTTCTCGTCGATGATGTGGAGTCTCAAGTCACAAGCAGGTGATGTGATAGGTGATGAAGATTTCTCGTGGCCTTGAGGAAGATGAAGTCTCCACTCTTAAGACCTCTCCTTCGCGTCTGCTCTTGTCTCATTGCCCCAAACCAGATAAGATATATTCCATTGACCACCATCGCATCCACCAAGAGGGATTGATGTTGATTTGGTCTGACAAAGAGACACTACAAATGGATCCTTGCCAAGCAGATCCTCAAAGTTTGGTAGAGATATCACATGTAACATAGGGCCGGTGCAAGCCTCTTCCACCTCAACTCCATCCTCATCCTGGAAGCCAATTGCTTCCTCAACCCCCCCCCCCCCTTCTTTCTTCAAAATATGGTCTCTCCCCTTGGAAAAGGTCAAGAACTACCCCTTCTTTGCTTTCTTCCTCATCCTCCACAACTTCTTTCCTAACCCTTGCTCTCTCTTCTTCTTCCCAAACAGATTGGAGAGCAAGTTGCCAAGCAATTTCTTCAATGGTATCATCTTGCATCTTCTCGCACCGGCCCAACATGTTAGAGTAGAAATGAGAAAAGGTGTGACCTGCCACCAGAGGACTTTCCTAATCATGATTATCATGGGAGTTCTCTGTGATAACTTCTGTATGCTCCTCAACGTCCCCGTAGCCTTTGTCATCCTCCACCTCTTCTGGTGTGGTAGCAGAAAGGTGATCTTGAGCAGGCTGTGCACAAAGTTGTTCCACCCACTTTGTTTGCTTTGCTGAGCACTGAATAGCCTCCTCCATTTCATGGATAAATGAGGGATCGGAAGGGGAAATGGCTTGGATTGGAAGATCCATCTTCGAGCATGATCTCTCAGTGTCTAGAGCAAACTGCTCCACGAGAAGCCTCAATTGTTTGTTCGGATCTACCAGTGGAGTGTAGCATGGTTCTGCAGAGTGGCCCGTGAAGGCCTCCATGGCTAACTCTAACTCAGATGGCCCCTCTGGTTGTGGCAGGAATTCTTCTTGAAAAGGATATTGTTCTTGAGGTTCCCAAGGGTTTGGTTGTTCTCCGTAGTAGGGGGTTGGTACTGACATCTGAATCCATAGTCTTCTCCTCCTTGATTGCTTCATGAATTCTCGGGGTAATATCACACGGATGGTGGTTGATACCCCCAATGATTGGAGAAGCCATGAGGATCCATGTTTCAGATCTGCACCACCAAAAACATAACACCCAAGTGACAAGCAAGGGTGGAAAAGAAAAGAAAAACGCTAAAGTAACAGACTTTCACGTTTCTACAATAACCTAGAGGTCCCCGGCAATGGCGGCAAAAACTTGACACGCTAAAACACAACACCAAACTGCGACCAAGTGTAATCGCAGTCCGGAAATGCGGAATAGTGGCAAGTTTTATTTATCAACCCGGGGTCTAGATCTACTGCCTAATCCGTGATTATCTATTATCTAGCATACTAAGTCGAGGGATTGTGATTTTAAGCAAAAGCAGTAAGAAAGCAAGAAATAGTTCAGTTTTCTAAAGCAAGGGAAGAGTCACTCGGGAATGAGTCCCCCTAGTTCCTTAGTTAGATCAAAGTTGTAATTACCTTTGGTTGTGTTACTATTGATTATACTGCGGAAGATCCGACAGTAGCTTGGAATCTCTTAAGCTGACCAAGCCCTCTCAGACAGACTACCCGGCAGACGACTAGTCTTCACCAGGATGGACTGCTGAGGCAATGAACACAAAACTCCACTACTGGAATTGAGTTCAGTACAAAGCATTGAATCGACTAACTCTCGTATAATCGATTCACTACTACCAATTGAAAGAGATCTAACAACCTAATCAGATTCTATCTATCTCAGGTTGCAGCAGAAATCAATAAAAGATGATCAGACTTCAATTGACTCTATCAAAACACTTCAATAGATTATAATCAAGCAGTATCACAAACCAAACGTCATTACAATCGATATCCCTAACACATGGAACTAGGGTTCTTCATACCCAAGTGAGAGAAAGTTCTAATCCATAGAGAGAGAGAGAGGAAAACAGAATACAAAGCAGTCATACTCATAAATATGGGGATAATCTGCTCTGGGATGTTGATCTTCACTCCTAGGGATGCAAGCTGGGCTTCAATGATGAGAAATCCAACTCCTAGGGTTTGTTCTTTGCACTTTATCTCTCTAAAACTATGTTTTTGCTCCAAAAAGTCAAATCCCTCTATTTTGGCTCGAATCTGCCTCAAAAACCCGATTCTAGGCGAAATACGAGCTGAATTATGGTCGTAAACATGGCCTGCCCGTATTTTACCCAAAACGCGCGTTTCACTTAACACTGATGAGGGGAATTACGGTCGTCGTTACCCAATTACTGCCTGTAATCGTGGAATTACGACCATATTTAATTATGCTCTTGCCCGTATTCTGCTCTTCGACAGATATTCTTAGGGATTTGGCTCGGCATTACATTTACGGTCAGGGCAGAGGCAATTACGCCCGTAATTATGCAGGGGATGCCCGTAATTTGAATCTAATCGCCAACTGACCTCCAAATGACCCGAAACTTGCGCCTATGCATCCCTTTACTCGCTAAGACCTGAGATACGACAAAACAACACAACCTAGCGTTAAATAGGCCAAGGAACCACAAATTTGATCTAAAATGGTCAGGAAACAAGAGTGTAGACATGTGCATATACGATGTTATCAATACACATACCATTGTTTGTTAAATTTAGCCAATGATAATTGGCTCATTTATCAATGGTATTTAGTCTTTCAATTCTATGCTTATAATTGTCAACCATTAGGGAAATTGTTAGCCAATGATTTTTGGTCATTCACTTATAGCATTGAAAATGTCTCGTTACAAAACCATAGATCACAAAATGTCAAATTTTATGTTTTGAAATAAAATTTTGTATAGCACTTTTGTAAACAATCCTTGTATTCCTACAAACTACAAAGTCATGTAACCTAATAAATTTAAAAGTTGTAAGACATACATAATGTACTATTTGATTCTTGGTGAAGAATTGTGTGATTAGAGGAACTCACTTAGTTGATTCATAAAGCTAGGCATATCATGATGATTCACTTTGTAAATAATTACAGTTATTAATTAATTCGATGATTGATTGTCGCGGTGGATAGTCCTACGATTTTGAGATATTTTAGTATCTCTCTTTAATTCAAAAAAATACGTAAACATTGTTGTAGTCCAGTTGGTTAGGGATATTAACTATCAAGTTGAAGGACTCGAGTTCAAGTCTTTGTAATTACATTTTTTTCTCGTAAGAAGATATTTAAGTTCGAAGTTAAACTTGCAAATTTACCCCTAGCTACAATTAAGAAGAGTGCAAGGAATTTGAAATGCTCAAAATCTCCTGAAGTACTGCTATATATTAAAGAGGGATGTGTTGATTACACGGTTGGTCACTCAGATTATCAAGACCTTTCATATTTGTTGCCTGAATTTTTTTTATTCACTCTCTTTTATAATCATTTTATCAATAGTCACCGGTCATATCTTCCCGTCAAACTTTATTAATGCACTAGCTTTTTTATGACGAGTCAAACAACTACCAATCTGGCTAACATATTGCTGAGTCACTTGAATTTTACCCAATATAAAACAACTCGACTTATACATAAGAACAAACCTGCCTAATGAACTTGAGAACCTAACCTACCAACAGATTAACATAAAAAAGCTTTTTGGCTTGCAAACCTTCACCGGGGTCGTTTGGATGTGGAATTTTAACGGATCAATTTGATCCTTTTTTTTTTACACAATTTGGCAAAATTGATTTATTTGGCAACAAAATTTAGATGAAGCAATTTTGTCTGGAAAAAATGAAATTGACTCGTTTTGAGACAATTACAATTGTCTGGGGAAGAGGCAGACAACTCGAATTGACTCGTTTTTTTAAAATGAGACAATTGACACGATTTTCAATTGATCCATCCTAAGTCCAAACGAACGCATTTCTCTTCCCCGACTTCTACTCTCTCACTTATTCCCTCTCTTCTATCGCTGGCCAATGGGATGTGTCGTTGGCCCTCTAGCATAGGCATCCGAATATTAGGAGACCTCTACCTAGGTCTGTTACTTGATTCAAACCTATATTATACAAAAATTTTGGTGTGTAATTGATTGATCTACACAATATATAATAGCCGGAAGGGGAAAACTGTTGCTCCATTTCAAATTTCCTGCAACGAGAGTGAAAGTAGGAAGGACATTTTGGTCTTCACAATTACTTTTTCTTATTCATGAAAAAGGCACGTCATGGGATTCAACTTTATAGCGTATCGAATTGCAATATTAAATATGTAGAAGCAATGTTGACTTCTTAAATTAGTATTAGTTTTCAGAACTACTATGAAGCAATCATATCTTTGTGCAAACTATATGGGACTGGTTCTTTTAATATTTTAGTCGGGTTAACCACTACATTTGAAACATATTCCTAATCTGGCACGATTGAATACAACGATCATTATACGAGATTGAGTTAATAGGTTGCCATTTCACTACATTTTTGCGTGTTACTGAATTTGTAGGACAATGACATGTCTACATGTACACTCATCAATCTCACAATCTACACATAATATAAAGGTCAAATGAGAAATGAGCGATCCCATTTCAAATTTGATGCACCCAAAGCAATTTTTGGCGGGGTAAATTTAGAAGGCGTCAGTGAAGCCGGTCTGTTGGGCACGAAAGTAAAAACTTTTTTTTATTTAAACGACCCAAACTATGATTTGGCCCACTAATCATGCACCCATCGCAGCCTCGCCAAAGCTTCTCATTCTACTCACCGGGTCTCCTCCCCCACGAACCTACTCTCCTCATGTTCCAAAGTTATCACTGAACCCTAATCTCTACAACCTATGCCACATATTCTAACTAGAATGCGTAGATGGAGCAACTGACGAATTGCAGCTACCCCTACTATTCTGATAGCAAATCAAGAAGACCCCGTTTATTAATTGCTTTGGTTCGTGATGCGGCTATGTTTGATGGTAAACCAACGCAAACAGTACAACTTCAGAGTTATTCTTCACATCAGTTAGTTGGGACATTAATTGATAATGATTTGGGATTATTCCATAAAATACAAAATTTGGGCTACTTGCCTTTATATTACATTGATTAATAGTGGTTTGAGATTTTATCAAATGAGTGATTTGACATGTTAAACTCTTCTATTTTCGAAGTGGAATATGAAGATTTTTTATTAAACTTGGTTTCGTAATGCCCTTATGGGTGTTTATAAAATGCAGTTGTATTACAAAGTAACTCATCTCAAATGGCAGGTCAGGGTACAACGATGGTACCGGTATACGTTTATATCATTAGTAGGAAACAGATTGAATAAATTCTGCTATATCGTTTAGTTAAATGTTGTAATTGGCCTGAGAAATGTATTCTTTGCATTAACTGTTAATGATTGTGAATTTTGGTTTAATGGTGAAAAGTTCATTTATTTAGAAGTAATCCAATGCTTGAATTTCGTTTTGAAGTTTAAATTGGACAAACCTGTTGGAAAATGGGCATGCCATACATTAGTGTCGTGGGAGGTTTGTTTGATATCTCAAGGTTTTGGATTTCCTAGAGGGTTGTTTATTGTCACAGAGAGTCCCTAGAGCTAGCAAGGTATTCCTATGCAGGTTTTTCCATTGTCTGACTGTTTCTTGCCTTTTTGCTTATCTTTTTCTATTTTTGGCTTTTGTGTGCTACCTTCAGCTGTTGGGTCTTCATTTGTGAGTCATCTATACTTTTCTTATTCAACACCTTAAAATCATCTATACTTGATTGCATTGTGGTTACTAAGAGGTACATTTAAACCAATAGAGAGCTTTTAAGTTTTATCAGTTGTTAGTTTCAATATTTACTTACTTTGATTGTTCATGTAGTTTTCTTTGTAACAATTTTTCATTATACAACTAACTTCTATGGCTACGTAGTTTTATAAGTGGGAGTTGGGCATGATAGTTCTCAGAAGCATCAACACTTGAGTCTTGAAGGCTATTATAATGACCAAATCTTAAAGTTATGGTTTGCCTTCAACTTGCTTGGAGCATTTCATATATACTTCAATTGTTCTCTCTGTGTAGTTGACTCTCAGACAAATCAAAAATATTGTTGGTTTTTGCTTGATTGTAGTTAAATTTAGGGTTCTACTGCCTTCTTCAAAGCCTTTGGTTTAGTTGTTGGCTCCGAGGTCATCAGGTTTTGCCATCAGGCTATTCATACAGAAGTGGGTTATCGTAACTCCCCGTGAGTTCAATATTATAATTTTTTTACAGTTATATTTTTTTTCTTAGAAATAGTATGAACATTATATCATTTGACACAATGCATAGTTTGATTAATGATTACTATTCAGGTAGAATTGATATAGCTGATTGGCATTCATGTAGTTTACCGGTATGAAGCTACTCCTCTTTGAATTACAGAAATACTCATAGGCGGCTATTTGAAGAAAGCCCCTTCATCAAGCGTATCCCTTTCGCTCCTCTGCAAGTGGTTTTCTTATTTTTTAGTTGTCCTTCCTGAATGTATATGCTAAGGTTGCTTTTCTTATCTGCAAACTTTTGAGGGTTTGAGGGAAAAATTGGAATGCCTTCAACCTTTAACATATATCATATCAATGACTAATGTTTCCGCAATCAATTTTTGGTTCCTTCAACTTTCAACAAAATAGACTTGCATCTGTTTACGTGGGTGTCTTTTGCATTATATTAATTTTAAGAATGAGAAAATTTTCCAGTTCTCTTTTGGGTTTGAAAATCTTTTTGTTACGGATTCATGTGATGTGAGTTATGCATATATATCTTTAAGACTTTATGTAGCTTTTTCTTACCTGTCTGTGGACATTTTTGCTTATTTTTCACGTCAACTTAGATAGCTACATTCCGTGGAACTGGTGTGGATCTAAAGAACAATGGATGTAATTTATTTTTTTATGAATATATCCTTTACGTAGTACTTAGATAGTTCCATTAATAAATCATTAGACTAGAGAATACAAGTGAAAGTTTGAGGCGGTTGATGAAATTCTTTATTTGGATGTTGTAATGATTAGAAGTCCATCCTCTTTTTTGACATTGCAATTCTTTATTAGTTATGACAAGATTTATTTGAATGAAGACAAAGTCATGTATACTTTCTGTACCATTCTCACCACTTTATTTTTTAGCACAGGCTGCTATCGAGAGTGTGCATTCCTCTTTCCCATCTATGACCACCCTTGGATTCCCACCTAGGCCATCACTACATGGAAGTACTGACAATATTGATGTTGATGTTGTTATTGTAAGAGACTGTATGTGTTTGTCACATCTTCCAATCACTCCAAAAGAAAACATGATGCTATAGCACCATTACTCCACAAGGTTCCTTAGTTTTATTATATTGTCATTCTCCTTTTTCTTGCGAATGCTCACTATGGTGGAAAGATAAAACAAACCAAAAGGACATAGATAGTATGTTTTCTTCTTTTAAAGTGTGTTTCATTCATTTATAGTTTGCAAACATACTACATTGGATTTTCACCAACATTTTAGTCTTCATCTAAATTTGAATAATTAAATTTTTATTTCCAAATTTCTATTTTTCTTTTACTTACTTTTCCAATTATAAGGTACTTGCTACTCCTGGAAATATCTTATCCAATTCGAATTGAAGTGTTGTCCTTATCTGTTTGGTAGATCAATGAATTCTTGCTAGATGCTTAGTTTAATTAACTCGAAGTAGGTCTCATTTTTGCAGTCTTCTTTGTTATCCTAAACACTTAAACAAATTCATGTCACTTATTTCCTATTTCATTACCAACAATGACAAGTGACTAATGAGATGTTGCACTCACAATATACATGAGCCAAGAACATTAATACATCCATACCAATAATTCAATATTCAGTTAAGCTCCTCCGACCAGGGTGGGGTTATAAGCTAGTTATAATTATAATGATGCATTTAAATGAATTAATTACACTAGTGCTACTAATTGGTCAATATTCTCTTGTATATACAAATGAGCCATGTATATTCATCATTAAAGTCATGTTTATGTTCTGAAAGCCTTGTATGTGTTATAAAATGACACAAGAAAGCTTTAACGGATTAATGATGATGATGGTTGAAAACAGTTTCACATAAAGCATAAAACATAATGATATTAATATATATTTTTATTTCAAATTTTTGTAAAAATTACGATGCTATTGCTATTGCTATTTTTATTTTATTATACTTAAAAAAAATTGGACTACATCTAAATTCTAGAAAAGTGGCTCCACAATTCAGTGGAAGATCAAATAAAAGGAGACATAGACAAGTAAATTCCTTATGAATTCTTAAATAATGCGATACAACCATGCTCCGTGAGCATTTTCTTTTGTAACATCGTCTACAACAAGGCCCGAGCTTATAACTATGCTCTTTCTTTCTATCATCTCTCGCTTATGTATCTCTCCCTTCACTTCTTTTCTTCCTTTTACAAATCCAGCATCTTTCCCCAAAATGACCACGTCCATCCCGATGCGAACCATAAAATTGAAAGAGACAAAGAGTATTGTCGACTTTGTAATTGAAATATAGGCATCATGTTAGATTGATAAGATTGGTTGGCTTCTCCTAGAGAAAAGATTGCAAATACCAATCCCCAATTTATTCCATCAATGACCTCCCTCACCCAGTTCGATGCATCATTCTTCTCCTCAATCTTATTCCCTTCTTCTCGATGACCCAACAGGATCAACAAGTCAAACCAAAATCACAAATCCTATCGCTCTCCAAAGATCACGCCACCAACCAAATCCTAACTTGCCTCCATAGCAGAACCCCTCCCTCCACTAGAAACTTCATCATCGACCTCACTGTCAAATCTCCTAGCTTGACTATTACACCAAGGCTAATTCCAACTCTACTAACTGTCTGTCACGTACATTTCTCCGGTGAGAACCTTCACGCAACATTCGTCATCGATGTTGAAGGATATTTGTAAGAAAGAGAGTTAGAACGAAAGAATATTCAAAGGAACGAAGATAACTAAAACTACTATTGGATTCCAATCTTCAACATGATATTAAACGAAAGACAAGGTACATATTAATAGGCTAGGAAACCCCAAAATCCCAATCCTCTTCCTACTAGGTCGGCGCCTCCTCCTTTTTCCTAACCAAAACATGAAATCCAACCTATAAGGAAATAATAATAAACTCCTAAACAATATACTGAATCCTACTTGAACAATGAAAGCAATAATAAAGACAATTAACAATAAAACACTAATAAGGAAATATCCAAGCCCAGATAGAGGCCCAATAGTTACGATTGCTTGATTCTTGTAACATTCCTCCTCCCTTCACAACAACCTTGCCCTCAAGGTTATTCATCTTCGTGAACGAATTGACCTTCCTCCTCGTCTATACACGCTCCTATCATGAGTAGAACGTTCTTGTTGGCACATCGATGGCCAATTGTAAAACGTTCTTCACAATGGAAGCAGAGTCCTTGGGCCCAGCGACGTGTTACCTCCTCTTCCGACATCCTCCTAGCATTTGGGTTGTGCGGCGGTGTGGCTCGTGGTGTGATGGTGGCTCGATCGCGGCCTCAAAGTGTGCTTCCAAGTAATACTACTACAAGAAACACATGATATTTTATTATCCTTAAACTCCAAAAATGTCATTCAAATCCTTATGATATTTTTTAAACATCTCAACAATTTATGAGTGATTTTATTATTTTGGGAGTAATATACTAACGGGTCAACCCGCTAACCCACCCAACCCGACCCAAAAAATCACGGGTATCGGGTTCGGGTCATTCGGATTTCGGGTTACAAAAATTTATAGTTTTTGGGCGATTTCGGATCGGGTCAACGGGCCGGGTTGTAATTTGCCAGGTCTAATTTGTGCCAAATTCATGGGATGATTTCCAAAAGGTACCAAAACGTAATTTTATCATCAAAATTTCTGGATCTTTTTGTAAAATGGTAAAAGTTTTGGTACTAAATTGTAAGGAAAAATAAATTTGGGTACCAAATTGTAATTTACCAAAATTTTGTAGTAAGTGACCAAAAAGTTCAACAATAAAATAAAAAAAATATGAAATTTAAAATAAAAACAAAATACAAATATTGGCTCTTTAAGCCGATGGAGCTGCAACTTCTACTGCTACCTTCCACTATCAATCTGTTTTTTTTTTTTTTTTTGTCCAAGATAAGCCCCAGGGAATGGC